AAAGATATAAGTAAAGTGAACTTACCTTACGCAAGCTAGTGATGATGACGGAACCGCCTTGGAAGTCGTGGAGAATGTGGAAGAGTTTTTCCCGCTTAAATAGTAAATAATTGGTATGCGGTCATAACTCTGACAGATGTCACGAGAGTAATTATGGGTGATTCCGTAATAAAAGCAATAACGTGATTTTGGTGGGAAATCAGAGAGTCACTTAACGCAATCTTTGCCCCTTAGAGCATTAAAGTATTCCGAATTGGAGTATCACTTCGAAAGACTTGGGGGGCTAATTGTTGGTGTCGGATCCCGCACCATGGGCTCGGGACCGGTCAAACATTGCCATGTAAGTAGGAGAGGCCCAAAAGAGGAAAGGCCCACGGGTTTCCTTGAGCAAGGATATAAGTGAGGTGGTTAACTCGCGAGATGAATGTGACATCCAAGTCAAAGCCAGCCGGATTGGAGAGTCAAGTGGGCCAAAAGGTGAAGCCCAGGAAGTCCGGAATCAATTCAAATTCGAACGTTTGAATAGTTAATTCGAAGACTGAAACGGATACATTTTTTTTTTTTGCTAAGAATGTAAATATCTCATTAAAAATGAAAAGTTATTAGGAGTTACACAAGGTAGATCCTAAAGTTTAGTCCCATGGCAAAAAAAGGATAAAAAAACATGGAAGCAAAAACAATCAGTCCATCGACATCGACAAAATCAGTGATTTCAGAATCAAAGAAGGGATAAAACGATTTTGAAGTATCCAAAGTGATGACACCTCAAAGTAGTAGCTTTATGCTGTCAAACGGCAAAGATCGAGACATAAGAACCAAACGATTGGAAGCCTTTCACTGGTAGCCCAAGAACTTGAGCCGTCAACGGCACAGAACAAGGAGCAAACAAACACCAACTCCTTCAGCGTCCTGTGAGAGGTACTCTTTGAAATAACGATGAGCTTTCTCAAGGCGGAACCACACGAACCAAAGCAAACGAGAAACGCAAGCTCACTCTACTAAGCTCTTTCCCCGAGGTCGGCTAGCATAGAGCAAAATCTATCAAAACACAACAACGCTTAACATCCACAAGGTCTTACTAGCTCCTCCAAACATGATGATAACTTCTTCACAAACCAAGGCACAAGCCAACTCAAGCACAAATCCATAAAAAGAGGCAGCAAACAATAGAACGCAACTAAATCAAGGCGAATCAACAACAAAGCGGCTTGACAAAAAAGGAGAAGTATAAAATCGATGAGCAAACCGAGAGTAGGTTCGAAGGAGTACGAATAAGGAGAAGACTCCTTTGTAGCTAAATCGTAACAAAAACCACACGCTTGATCAAAGAGATCAAAGAGACCAATCAGTTTAACGAGATCCATAAGCAAATCCGATACAAACCGAGCAAATCTCCGAGTTGAGAGAAGTTGGAGAACAAACTCCGAGAAACTCTTAGACTTGACGCAATCGCAAGGAGACCTCAGCAACCCTCCACAGATCCGCTTTCGTCGTCACGCAAGCAGGAACACAAAGGGAAGGTGCAACACTACTCGCCTCCATTACCGTCAAGCACCGGCGACCACCACTCAAAAGCATAAAATACTAGACACTGAAATCAGATTGGAGAAGAAAAACGGTAGCCGCAACACCAACGCACGAGACAATCTTCTCCACCGACACAATTGAGGTAGATCTGAAAATAGATCCACCAAACATGGACGACTCCTCATGAGAAGAAAGTTGCGGTAGCTCCGGCGGGAACCTTTGTTGTCCCATACAAAGGTTAAACAGCCTAGAAAACAACCACAACAGCCTCGAGAAGAAGCCGCCCTGCTCCAATCTCTTCCACCACACGCACCGAGCAGAAAGTCGATTTGAAGCCAAGACCACTGAAGAGGTAGAAACAGAGAATAAGTAGCAAGAGCCCTCTCATGGCGCCAGACGAAACCGGACACCAGAGAGGCAAAACGAAAAACGACGGAGAAGAGAGCTTCGGTGAGGATTGGGAGAAAAGAATCGCGCGCGTGTACCTCACGCACAAAGGTTTTTCAACGGATACATTTAAGGTAGAATAATTGTGTGTGAATGAGAACTAAATGTATTTTGTGAGTATAAATTATGGGTCAAGGACCATGTAAAGACACACGCATTTTTGTGCAAACTTACTATACACATTTTCTTACAAAAACTCATAGTTTTCTCTATAATCGTTGATCTATTTTTTAATACATTTGTCCTCAAGAATAATCATTCTCACTAAATAAATAAATACTTGAGTGTGTGAATCCGACATCCACAAATATGACTTCATGTCATGTGTATGATTGAGTATAAGAACTAAAACCACAACCGGATCTTAAAAGCCTAAATAGTGTTTCCTTGTTAGAAGATACAAAGCCAAAGACTCATGTGGACTTTGGTTACACTATTAAAGCTTTGAGAAGCAAGAAGAAGCTTGGTTAATGTTTTGGAGTCAAATATGACTAGATGTCATGTGTATGATTAAGTATAAAAACTAGAACTGCAACCCAATCTGAAAAGCCTAAGTAGTGTTTCCTTGTTAGAAGATACAAAGCCAAAGACTCATATAGACTTCAGCTACACCAACAAAGCTTTGAGAAGCAAGAAGAAGCTTGGTTAGTGTTTTGGAGTCAAATATGACTTTATGTCATGTGTATTGATAAGTGTGTATTTTGCATGTTTTGAGCATCCATTTGTCATCACTTTAGCACCATATCATCACTATTTTATATCATTTCTCATCATTTGTCATCACTTTGCATGTTTAGGATAGTTTTGCATGCATGTTGCATATTTGTGTTGATTTCAGGTGATTTGGAGCTTTTGACGAGCTAACTGGAAGAAGCGGACCTGATCATGTCAAACCACTCGACCCTGTGGTCGAGTAGATGCTTCACGACTTCACCAAACCACTCGACCCCTTGGTCGAGTAGAATACCTCAACACTTCACGTCACCACTCGACCCCCTGGTCGAGTATCATCACCTCCACCACTTCACCTTCACTCGATCACCGTACTCTACCACAATGTCGAGTACATTCATCACATTCACTCGATCACTCGACTACATACTCGACTGCCTGCTTCAGAGTCTTCTTCATTCCGCACTCAGGAAGAAAAGAAGTCTCCAGCTTATCACTCGACCTCTCACTCGACCACCTGGGTCGTGTACAGTTCTTAATCCGTCCCAATATTGCGTCATTTTGAGTATTAGGATTTCAGAATATTTTGCTATAAGTAGCATGTACTTTACATTTTCGAGAACAAGTTTTAATCTAAGTTTTATTCTGTAGACACTGTGTTCTTGACCTTTTGTAATCCGGATTTCTCTTTATCTATTCAATATTTGTTTACTCTTGTCCATCCTGTTACCATCTTGCTATTACTCTGTTGTTATCATGTTTTCATTCCATTCAACGTTTATGTTTTCTGCAATGATGTCTGAGTAGTGAATAGGTTTCTGAGGATGGGTTAGAGTAGTTTAGAATTCTCAGTATGCTGGGTAGTTGAGTTTGATTGATAGATCCCTTCTAAATTAGTTGTTCTTAATGCCTATTGCTTTCTCTTCAACTGGAATTTGAGCCCAGACATTTCTGCGCCCAAAAGGTGTTCGATGAAATGTCTGAACCACTAATTCCAGAGATTCGTGGCCATGTACCAAGGTATTGGTTGTAGGGAGCGTTTTGGTTTTAACTTGTTGATTCGTAATGCCTGTTAGGTTAGCTCTCGTCAATGGTGATTGAGTCTGGGACTAGGTTAACTTGAGGGTCTCTGTTGCGGTAGCACTTAGATTTGGTTAAATAACTTGTTGTCTAGGGATAATTTATTGAGCATGTCAATCACCTATAAACAGAGGAAACGAAACTACTCAATTACCCCATCCTCGGGAATTCTTTATCTGATTGAATTTATTGTTTACTCTACTGTTGTTTACTGCATCTTGTTATCTGTTGCTTAGTTTCTGCAATTCTTTCTTATTACTCGATCTGATACTCGACCACCCAGTTGTCTGGCAACAGACTGTGCAGTTGAGTATCTTTGTTTCATTTACTGTCTCTTACGCGACCACTCACTCGACCTCACACAGTGCTCTGCAACGAGCTGTGTTGGTCGAGTGTTTTACTCTTTCTGCTTGATTTTCTGTTTTCTGCATGTTCACACAGGACTGCTAGAACACACCAAAACTTGTTATTGCTTGGCTTGACTTAGTGACTTCTGATCACATCTTGATTGTTAGCATCACACCCATTTGGATTGACAACCTAAAATACTACAACGATATGATTGGTGTTTTAGGATAATTGACTAAAAACCTATTATCAATTTGGCGCCGATGCCAATTGGGTGTTTGTTTGTTACATTTGAGATTTCAGACTTGCTTAGATCAAGTTCTTTTTCAATATTCAATTCGGTTGTTAACTGTATGTTTTTCTTGTTGTCTCTTGATCCAGATACCCCTCTGCTGTATGCAAACTAGATCAACAGGCAACCAAAACCTCCTTTTCAACGACAACATCGATCGCATAGCTCGCGAAATCAGAGAAATGAGAAACACAGCCAACCTAATACCACAGCAACCACTCGAAATGGCTGACGAACAGAATCAACAAAATGGCCCTGCCAACATTGGTGCTGGAGATGCACCAAGGGACCATCGTCAGAGGAAAGGAATTGCACCACCTGCTATCTAGAACAACAACTTCGAGATTAAGAATGGTCTCATCTCGATGATTCAGGGGAACAAATTCCATGGTCTGCCAATGGAGGATCCACTCGACCACCTTGATGAATTCGATAGGCAATGGAGGATCCACTCGACAACCTAACAAAAAGCAATGGTGTTAGTGAAGATGGATTCAAGCTCCGTTTGTTTCCATTCTCCTTGGGCGACAAAGCACACATCTGGGAGAAGAATTTGCCCCATGACTCAATCACCACCTGGGATGATTCCAAGAAGGCTTTTCTATCAAAGTTCTTCTCCAACGCCAGAACTGCAAGACTCAGAAATGAGATCTCCTGCTTTTTATAGAAGGCTGGTGAAAGCTTATGTGAAGCATGGCAGCGTTTCAAGGCTTATACCAACCAATGCCCCCATCATGGCTTCACTAAACCTCTCTGCTCAGCACTCTTTATAGAGGCGTTTTACCACGCATCAGATTGCTTCTGGATACCGCCAGCAATGGGAATTTCCAGAACAAAGATGTTGAAGAAGGCTGGGAATCGGTTGAGAACCTTGCTTTATCAGATGGTGATTACAACGAGGACTGCAATAGGACCGTTAGAAGCATAGCTGACTCTGATGACAAACACAGGAAGGAGATCAAAGCGCTGAATGAAAAGCTAGACAGGATCCTTCTTAGCCAGCAGAAGCATGTGCACCTCCTTGTTGATGACGAGCAGTATCAAGTCCAAGATGGGGAGGGTAACCAGTTGGAAGAAGTCAGCTACATCAACAACAACCAGGGTGGCTACAAAGGGTATAACAACTTCAAAACCAACAACCCCAACCTCTCCTACTACAGCACCAACATTGCTAATCCACAAGATCAGGTCTATCCTCCATAGCAACAACAAGGTCAGAACAAACCTTTTGTTCCCTACAACCAAGGTTTCGTTCCCAAGCAGCAATTTCAGGGGAACTACCAGCAACAACCACCACCTGGGTTTGCACCTCAACAAAACCAAGGTCTTGCTGCTCCTGATGCTGAAATGAAACAGATGGTACAACAGCTGCTACATGGACAAGCATCTAGCTCCACGGAAATTGCTAAGAAGTTATCTGAATTGCACCATGAGCTGGACTGCACCTACAATGACCTGAATGCCAAAGTGGAGGCATTGAACACCAAAGTCAGATATTTGGAAGGCCAATCAGCATCTACCTCTACACCTAAAGTTACAGAACTTCCTGGGAAGTCAATACAGAATCCAAAGGAGTATGAAACTGCTCACGCCATCACTATCTGCCATGATCGAGAGCTGCCAACACGACCTGTTCCTGACTTAATCACTCGGGACAGTGATGTTCAAGAAGGGGAGGCTTCTACTCAGATTGAAGTCTCTATTGTTGAATTCAACCATTCTGCTGGTTCTCGCCATCTTATTCAATCCACCTCAGAAGAGAAGGCTGCCATAATCGAGAGAATGGTAAAACGATTCAAACCTACTCCATTACCCTCATGTACTCTCCCATGGACATTCAGGAAAGCGTGGATGGAGAGATACAAGTCTGTTGCAGCAAAACAGCTAGACGAGATTGAAGCAGTGATGCCACTGAACCTCACAAAGATGTGAGAAATCTAATACTGGAAAGAATCAAGATGTATCACGACTGAGATGATGAATGTGATGCTTCTCCATCTCGAGTTGCTGATAAGAAGATTGTTCAAGAAAAGTTAAAAGATCCTGGATCTTTTAGTCTACCATGTTCCATTGGGGAATTAGCCTTCAGCGATTGCCTGTGCGAGCTCGTAGCCTCTGTCAGTTTAATGCCACTCTCTGTGGCAAGAAGGTTAGAGTTTATTCAGTACAAACCTTGTGACCTGACTTTGATCCTTGCGGATAGGTCTTCTAGAAAACCCTTCGGCATGCTGAAAGATCTACTAGTCATGATTAATGGAGTGGAAGTGCCTACAGACTTCGTGGTGCTGGATATGGAAGTAGAGCATAAGGATCCCTTAATCCTGGGAAGGCCCTTCTTAGCTTCAGTGAGAGCAGTGATAGATGTCAGGGAAGGGAAAATAAGTCTCAACCTTGGAAAGCACATCAAGTTGCAGTTTGACATCAACAAAATTCCACAAGAGTCAACAGAAGATGAAAAAACCTCTGAAGACTATAGAGTGATCCCAGGAGAAGGGTATGAGAATGAGAAAGTAAAAGAGCTTAAAAAGATGTCTAGGAAGCAAGAAGAAACTATAGAGAGGCTAGCTCACTCTGTTGGGGAACTTAGGGGTAGGCTGAATCAGATGCAGAAGTAAGCTCAACCTAAGCGGGATTAACACTATCCCGAGAAACAAGTTCACTTCAAGATGGTCTTGAGAGACAGATTACCCTCCAGAAGAGAAAGAAGCCTATTTTGAAGAAAGGGGAATTGCTATTCTGCTGCAGACCTCTCCAGGGAGGACGCTGAGTATGATGATGATATCAGAGAGGACTATGCAGACCCTCTCTATCATTCATTTTCTTCTTGATAAGTGTGAGGAGTCAAGCTAGAGACTTTAAACAAACTCACTTGGGAGGAAGTCCCATGATTATCCGTGTAAATAATTTTTACTTTCTTGTTATTTTTGATTTGTTTTCGTTATGTTTGTGGTTCTCAGGAAAAAAGGAATAACAAGAAGGTAGAGTAAAAATTCAAAACTTTTACTCTACTGATGGCCTAGAGATCGAGTACATTGGTCGAGTATGAGTGATGTTTAAAAACCCAAAAAATTTAAATCATCATTTTACTCGACCAACAGAAGCTACAGAGTCTTACAGAGAGTTTATCAAGTTTACAGAAGATTGCGGGATTTCCTGAGGTTTTTACAGTAAACAAAGAGAACAAAATAAAGACAAGAAGACATTGTGGGACCCACCGTTGACGCCCATGTCTTCCATGCAAGAGACCAAAGGACAAGAAATCTCTCCTCATCTCTTCTCCTCCACTCGACGTCAACCCCATCACCATCCCACACTCGACCTCGTCATCTCCTCCACACCCATTAAACTCGACCTCCATCTCTCATCCAAACTCAACCAAACTCTCATCTCTTTTCTCTCAACCTCTCGACCCCATCCCTCTTAACTCGACCTCCATCTCTTCAAATCATCATCACCTTCACCCGTGACTCGACCTCTTCACCGAATATCTCATCATCTCACACTCGATCCCTGGTACTCTAGTTCAGCACCGCTTTGCTCCATTAACTCGACTTCTCCACTACTTCTCACCGCCTACTCTCTCCACTAAAACCACAACCGAATCTTAAAAGCCTAAGTAGTGTTGCCTTGTTAGAAGTTACAAAGCCAAAGACTCATGTGGACTTTGGTTACACTATTAAAGCTTTCAGAAGCAAAAAGAAGCTTGGTTAGTGTTTTGGAGTCAAATATGACTAGGTGTCATGTGTATGATGAAGTTTAAGAACTAGAACTGCAACCCTATCTTAAAAGCCTAAGTAATGTTTCCTTGTTAGAAGATACAAAGCCAAAGACTCATATGGCTTTCAGCTACACCAACAAAGCTTTGAGAAGCAAGAAGAAGATTGGTTGGTGTTTTGGAGTCAAATATGCCTAGATGACATGTGTATGATTGAGTATAAGAACTAGAACAGCAACCGGATCTTGAAAGACAAGGTAGTATTTCCTTGCTAGAAGATACAAAGCCAAAGACTCATAAGGACTTCGGCTAAACCATCAAAACTTTGAGAAGCAAGAAGAATCTTGTTTAGTGTTTTGGAGCCAACAAATATGACTTTATTACATGTGTATGATGGAGTATAAGAACTAGAACAACAACCGGATATTAAAAGCTAAGTAGTGTTTCCTTGTTAGAAGATACAAAGCATATTAGTCATACGGGCTACAACTACACCATCAAAGCTTTGAGAAGCAAGAAGAAGCTTAGTTAATGTTTTAGAGTCAAATATGACTTGATGTCCTGTGTATGATTGAGTATAAAAACTAAAACAACAACCGGATCTTAAAAGCCTAAGTAGTGTTTCCATGTTAAAAGATACAAAGCCAAAGACTCATGTAGACTTTCGTTACACTATTAAAGCTTTGGGAAGCAAGAAGAAGCTTTGTTAGTATTTTGGAGTCAAATATGCCTATATGGTATCTGTATGATTGAGTATAAGAACTCGATCTCCAACAAGATCTTGAAATCCCAAGAAGTGTTTCCTTGTTAGAAGATACAAAGCCAAATTCTTAACGGACTTCAGCTACACCAACGAAGCTTTGAGAAGCAAGAAGAAGCTTGGTTAGTGTTTCAGAGTCAAATATGACTTGATATCATTTGTATGATGGAGTAGAAGAACTAGAACCGCAATCGGATATTAAAAGCCTAAGTTGTGTTTTCTTGTTAGAAGATACAAAGCCAATGAGTAATACGGACTTCAGCTACACCATCAAAGCATTGAGAAGCAAGAAGAAGCTTAGTTAGTGTTTTAGAGTCAAATATGAGTTGATGTCATGACTATGATTGAGTATAAAAACGAAAACAACAACCAGATTTTCAAAGCCTAATTAGTGTTACCTTGTAAGAAGATACAAAGCCAAAGACTCATGTGGACTTTGGTTACACTATTAAAGCTTTTAGAAGCATGAAGTATAACTAGATGTCATGTATACGATTAAGTTTAAAAACTAGAACTGCAACCCTATCTTAAAAGCCTAAGTAATGTATCCTTGTTAAGAAGATACAAAGCCAAAGACTCATATAGCTTTCAGCTACACCGATAAAGCTTTGAGAAGCAAGAAGAAGCTTGGTTAGTGTTTTGGAGTCAAATATGCCTAGATGACATGTGTATGATTGAGTATAAGAACTAGAACCGCAACCGGATCTTGAAAGGCCAAGTAGTATTTCCTTGTTAGAAGATACAAAGCCAAAGACTCATACGGACTTCGGCTACACCATCAAAACTTTGAGAAGCAAGAAGAAGCTTGTTTTGTGTTTTGGAGCCAAATATGACTTGATGTCATGTGTACGATGGAGTTTAAGAACTAGAACCACAACTGGATATTAAAAGCCGAAGTAGTGTTTTCTAGTTAGTAGATACAAATGTGGACTTTGGTTACACTATTAAAGATTTCAGAAGCAAGAAGAAGCTTGGTTAGTGTTCTGGAGTCAAAAATGACTAGATGTCATGTGTATGATTAAGTTTAAAAACTAGAACTACAACCCTATCTTAAAAGTCTAAGTAATGTTTCCTTGTTACAAGATACAAAGCCATAGACTCATATGGCTTTCAGCTACACCAACAAAGCTTTGAGAAGCAAGAAGAAGCTTGGTTAGTAATTTGGAGTCAAATATGACTTGATGTCATGTGTATCATGGAGTATAAGAACTGGAACTGCATTCAGATATTAAAAGCCTAAGTAGTGTTTTGTTTTTAGAAGATACA